ATATCAGAGGAGCCTAGACTCTAACAGACAACACCGATGTTGATTATACTCAATTTTTACACAAAAATGCGTCAATGGCCTACATAAAACAAAGTTTACAGTACAGAGATGAGACTGCAAGGAAATATTGATCATGCAATTGGAAATGTCACATAGTATAATTTCATTACCCATAGAATACCTGAATTTGAGCTTTGGATAAGCTAAGAGAGTTACAACCTGATTCTATGCCGTCTACTATGGTTGCATGGAAGGATCTCCTGCATCTCCTGTCAAAACTGTAGTAAAAAATATAATTATGTCGACACGATGGAAATAAAAAAAGGATACCCAGTACAGTCTGCCAAATTCATATATTAAACGAGCAGGAAGGTTAATATTTTGTGCGTAGATGCGTTTAATACTGTAAGACATTAATACATCCTAAAGATGGAAAAGTCAAGCAGTAAAATAATACATTGCATTCTTCTAGCTGACAATAGATGCCTTTATTGCTTTATAAGGGTCTAGATGGTAGAAATTAATAGAGGTGTCAATCAGGAAGTAGACAGTGTGGAAAATATTCCTCCTGTGCCATTGGTCAACTTCCCTCCTCTTATATATTTGCCCATATTTTTAACTGGATCCAATAAAAACCTCAAATTTTAACCTTTCATCTCAACATGAAATAGTGACCTATTGACTTATAAATGTGGGCTTTCATTTCTCTGAATGCAGCATATGCATCTTCCCATTTATCACCCTGCTAAATCTGGATACTGCAACAACCAAGCCCTTTAAACATATCTTTTGAAAGCACAAGGAACCTAGTATTATAGTTAGGAATGCTAGAGGATATGGGCATTCATATATATGCATCTGTATCTCTATCCATCTCTATCCAACAAGACGCATACACGAATACGCACACACAGAGTCACACACGCCCATAGGATGTGTTTAATGATATGCACATATTTTTAAACTTTCGTATACGGTATAAGTAAAACATCTGGATTCATACACTGATATCCGAAGACGTTGAAATTGTTTAGAAAATTATAGTAGATGAGTCCAATTTTGAGGACCCAGAGATCCAACTTTAGTTTTTTTAGAAATGTTCACATGATGGCCTCTGACATGAGAAATTTTGTTGTTTAAGTAGTCGTTGTATCGCATAACTTGACCTTTTCAATTCTATCCATTTCTCTCGTATCCTATTCCTCTATACATATATATGATTCTTGTGGGTCCATATCCTATTCAAGTTTGTTGGGTATGGATAATGTGGTTTCCTTACAGAAACATGTAGGAATTCCTTATACCATTCAAACCATAAAGGAGCATTAGGTGCACACTACTTTGCACTACGACTCTAGTAGAGATACATGTGTTTGAACAGTTAAGGAAGCTAGCAAATGTATATAAATTAACACAACAAACATCATTTTGAAATATCATGTCTGAGTTTGTGCATGCATGTACCATTAGGAGCCACGAGTGAGAAATAATCAACAGACAAACAAAGCATATCGCACAATTCGATCGCCATCGTCACAAATGGCACAAAGTGGATCAGCATCATTCTCCAAATCATCAACATTGTTCTCCGCATCTTCTACGTAGTAAATGCTCGTCACGGATTGTGGGTCCTACACCTCCTAGTCGCTTGAAGATGCCATGATTTTAATTGTGGAAAGAGGGCTTAGGTATCAATAAAAACAAACAGCTATCCACGCTACGACCTACTCACCTGTAGTGAATATGAGAAAGAACTCAACTTTATTAGAAAATAGGCGTAAAAGAAGACTAATCAAATTAAAGCTTACGCTTTTGTGCTGAAAAATGTGTAAATTTTCAGTGATTTAATATTTTAGGAAAAATGCTCAAATCCATATATAATCCCACTTATGTGGAAAGAATACATTTTTAACTATTTGAAGAAGCTCCGACTAAAATAATCTGGAATAAAAAGTTCATTAAAATCGGAGAAAATTAGAAAACAGTTCAAACCTTTATGATAGGTAAAACCTTACCTTTCTATGGTCATTTGGGTGAATCCTGTTTGCAGCAACTGGATCAATCTCCTTAAGACGCTCATAGCTAGCAGCCAGATCTACATTGCTTAATTCTGCAAGAAACAGAAACTTCCAGAAACTACGAAGTAAAAGAAAGTAAGCTAACACCATTAAACTATTAAATCAGTTTATTTTCTCCTATCTAACCTTGTT